CACAGGCCTCAAGAGAGGACCTTCGTAGTTGAAAGACGCAGTGTTTCAATTTTATTCGGCCTCAGCTGATTTCTGCTTTCGAATCTGCTATTTTTTGTAATTGTTTCAGTGAGTAGATTCTCCAACAATGTGGTCAAGCCGCTGGTACGGGAAATGGACGATAAATCTCAGATGCATCAATCGGTCATCACAGGAGTTTTCGAGAACGGGGTATGACGTTTTTGCTGGTTCACTGAGACTGATGACAATGACACTCTTTCATCTTTAATCTTGAGAAAGAATAGATGGTCTCCATCCCTTTTCGTTCTTTAGGTCTTTATTCGTTTCATGAGCTGCCTGGAAATTACATTAAAAAAGTAAAATGAGGAAATTAAGATTTGAAACGTGGTTACCGACAAGATCTTATTACACGATTACACATCTCACTATCTTTAGCTAAATTGGCAACAATCATTAATGCTTAAATCTTTCTAAGTTGCGATAGATCGCTTTGATGATACAAAAGTTGAGGGCAGGAACAATTTTCTGTGAGGTGACGCCTTTTAGGTTTTGCTAGGCCTCAGAAATATTATTATAGTTTGACGCGATTGCCGTTTTTCATCAGCAGGATCGTCAGCCTTCCAATTTGTTTTTTTTCATAAAAAACATTCTTGCTGCTTCCTTGATGAATACTCACTCTTACTTCTACAGTTTTTGCCGCTCGCTGGTCGCTCTTTTGGCTAGTATCGGAGTTTTCCGACTTGCGTTCTCTTGTACATATGGGCGCATGAAGCGCTTCGCTGCCGGCATTCGATGGCAAATCCGTTTGCCTGTTCGCCAACCTAGAGGGGGAGGGTCAAACGCAGGATTTATGTAAAACGACATTGCCTTTTGCTGATTGCTCTGCCAGAAGTCCATAAGATCGAGGTGGTTGTGTTGCTCCAATACGGAGTTAGTACATGAGGGAAACGAATATTATTTTCTATGAGCATTTATCACCATAGCTCAAGAGGGAAAGCGTTACAAGAGAAGTTGGGACTCGCGCAAATCCAATCGTCCTAGCAGATAGATGGGTCGTATCCAAGGAACCAAAACTGAAGCCAGCTGTTCAACATGATTTTTCAAACTTGAGCCCCAAAACTAATCACAAGCGATGCAACGTACTTTAACCTAGATGGCTCGGCGTGCTAGAATGCAATAGACCTGCAGAAACCGCCAAGACATTCCCTTGTTTCTCTGCCACTCCGCGTGATTAGGCATCCCGATCGTCACCCAAGCAACGTAAACCGTTACGTTCACAGAGACCCTCTCCCCTTTAAGAGGATCTTGATGCGACCTTCCTCACCACCATGAGGCTACAAAGACTCCCGCGCCCCTCCTCTCTATCCCGACCCCCCATCCTCGTCATCATGGTTGTTTTTATAGTATTTGATTCTAGGACCAGTCCCAGAAAGGAGCTGTCGAGCGAGAAGGGGAGGGAAGGGTGGGGTGAAGGGGGGGGGAGAGGAAATTGGTATAATGATTCAGTTTACGCTACTTCCATAGAACATTCACCAAGTTCGCAAAATTGTCAGCAGACCTTCTAAATGGCAACCCGATTTTAACGACCTCCGGCTGGACTTGTCCAAAAATCACTAACCTCGCTCAACTCCAAAACGCGACCGTCTTCGTTCGAGTAGTGCGAACGGACGGTTGACCTTGCACCCAAGCACTCTCTATCTCCTAGAGAGAGCTACAAATAATGAGCTAGCCCATTTATACCGTTCAGGTATGTCATTCACTAGGCTACTTAATCTAAGCATTCACGAATCATTAGAGAAGCCCGTTTCGCTGCTATTGCTGATTGGGAACGTCCAACTGAGCCATCGGCTGTCACTTACATGCTGGCCCTGCACAACCTGAAGTTAGATACGCGTTCAAAGTTGTCTCGAAAGAAGTAGGCATTTATAAATGCAAAAAGAGCACCGTAGCACTCAAATAACAATGGCAAAGGTGATCATCTTATGTTTTCAGTTTATGGGAATTGAAGTCCCTGAGAAATATGGTGGTCCAGGATCGTCGTTCTTCGATACGGTTCTCGTCGTTGAAGGACTTGCTAAGGTACCCTACCGTACTTCGTTCTCAGTTGTTTACATGTGGTTGATTGAAGATTACTGCTTGCGATCACTCCCATTGTCCTTTTCTTCAACACCTGAGTTAAGATCGATCCTGCAGTGTCTGTGTTCGTTGATGTACAGAATACCCTAATCGCTCCTCTGCTAATGCAACTCGGAACTGAAGAACAGAAGCAGAAATATCTCCCAAAAGTCTGCAACGAGTGGGTAAGGCTGAATCCGGTCGCTTTTTTCGCCTTTTCTTTTTTATCAAGTGTTTTCTTCAGTCGAATTATTTGTTCTTGAGTGAACTATCTATCACTTCCTTCTCAAGGTCGGTTCGTTCTGTCTTTCCGAGCCTGGATCGGGATCCGATGCTTTCGCTTTGGCAACTGTAGCAAAACCGGAGGGAGATGACTTTGCCATCACAGGATCCAAGATGTGGATTACGAACGCTGGTCATGCCAGTTTCTTCCTGGTTTGTTTTTAGGCAACTAGTAAGCAATAATTATTTGCCATTCATTCATCAATAAATAAACATGGAATGGGCTCTACAAGGACATATAATTTTAGCGGAACCTAGCGTAACTTGCTGGGTATGTGGAAACGTGATAATATGTAGATTTGGTGGTTCTGTAGCGCTTTTGCATTCGAAAGCAGCGAATACGATAGGCTCTAGAGGGGTTTAAAGGAAAGTAGGGTGCTAATACGTTTGCATTAGGGAAGAATAGGTCAGAGAACTCCGTTCAGAACGCGAAAAGGGAACCCTTTCTTGCAGCTCGTGTCTTCGCTGAAATACGGTCAGTGACTAAACGGCGGACACATGAACGAGTTTACTTCACCCTCGTTTGGTGCACCATGCAATCCACGCTTCCAATCGAGTTGCTTCAGTTGTGCCGCTGCTGGCAACGCAGCTCGTCCAAATCACCAAGTAAACTAGTGGGCGGATCGCTTTTGGGGCGGAGTGCTTTCGAAGTCCTGCTCAGCAACCAGCGCACCTTTCGTCGTGAAAGCGCCACATCTCGCTTCCTTGGCAGCCAAGTAACTGCTTCGTTTAAAGCAGATGCTTTCCCGATGCGCTCCCCCTTTATTGTAATTGCTTCATTCAATGCGTGCTTCGTCCAAGAGCACCTATTACTTGGGCAGGGATTTCTTAAAATTTGTTGTCTGCATGGGGAGGCATTCCCAGTGCGTAAGGTATTATATAAGCACATCGCGTGCTTTCTTTCCCTTTAGCATCTAGTTTTGAAAGGAGTGAGCTTCTTCTGGTGTTTTATGGTACACTACCCGCGTTCAAGTCTTGAACTGACTGAAAGATCAAAAGAGGTGGTGGATGATAACTTCCGCCATCATGACATTATTCATCCCCAGTAACGATCCTACATTTGTCACACTCAACCTATGCCGGAGAACCGTACCGCGCCTTCACGTTGGTATTATTAGGTTGTCTCAGAAGTTCGTGCGTATTTTGAACTTTTTTTGAGCCTACTCTATTTCAAGCACATGCATTATCTATCATATATGCACCACCACTATCAGTGACTTGTTGCCAACGACCAACCAAGAGTGGCCGCTTAACTCCCAGAAGGCTGGCAGTTACGAGCTGAAAAAGGCAGTGAGGTCGATTTCGAGGTGCCTATGGGAATCGTATTTTGTTGTGGAAGAAGGCGCTGAGCAAAAAGAGCAGATGTCTTTCGAAAGAGGTTGATCACCGCTGCACGTTGGATATGGTAGGACTTTTCGGCTAAGCCTCGATATCTAGAGTCGCGTTTTCTTGAAACACGTCGTCTTGGTTGTCTTGAAGCGGACATACATTTTTCGAGTTTTAAGGACAGTTGTTGGAATTTCGCCGTGAATCTCTGCCGTTGATCACATTAGACTTGGCTGACTTCATAGCTATAATGAGGGAGATGTCTCTAGTGGTTTACTCGAGAACGCTCCAAAAGAGGTGGAGCACGACCTTGTGGTGAATTTCTTCACTTTTCACCCTCTTCTGTTCGATCCAGTCCCTGGAGATTCTAGGTGTGGTTGTCATGGAACCTGTGCTTCTCAACTGTGGCTTTGTTCAACCAGGGCGAGAAGCTGTGCCCTCTCTACAGCCTACGTGATATTGAAAATTTGCTGAAGGCGCTTGTGGCATGAGATCCAAAAAATACGCACGAACTTTTCAGACAACGTAATAAAAGCCGCATAAGATTGCAAAATCAGTAGTCTCCTTACTAGCACCCACCGAAACGACAGAGAAATGCTTCTCTACCCTTCCATGTGTGTGAGTATGACCACATCATTTCAATCGCATCGCTCATCGCACGGGAACTTGAAGGATGGGGAGCAATACGATCAGAACGTTTGGGAAGTGAGCAGTTAGGGTAGAAGGCTGGGCGCGCAACGACCATCAAAGACCCAGGAACAATTGGTTGGGTTGCATCTTGGCTTGGGCTAATTAGATCGTGCTAGTTCGCGTCGAATACCGTTTTATTCCAAGACATTAAGTCGGAAGTTCGATATATGGTCATCCGTCCTCCTTTTATTTTGAGTTCAAAAAATTTATGTGATCCGTAACTGCTCGGTATTGATGTTTACTCAGATGTTTTTCTAGTGCCGTACAGGTTTTTAGGTAGAAAACTTTATACCTGAGCCCGAAGTTTCGACCAAACCGTCCGTCTTCCTCAAAGCGCAGTTCACCATCGCAAGAACTACCTACTTGCATCCGACACTGACCGCTGTCTCTTCTTGCGGTGGTGAACTGTGCTTTTGAGGAGGATGAATTGTTCGGAACGAAGGCCGATAAATAAAGTTTTTCACCTAAAAACCTCATCTGCACAAGCAAAGCATCAGAGCGAACATCATAACTATTAGTTAAACTTATTAAAACGCCGTCACTTTGTTCAAAATAGTATCTGTTTAAATTGTTATTAAAAATTATTTTTGCACAAAAATGTTTAGGTGTTTGCTAACGCAGACCCATCCAAGGGCTACAAAGGCATTACCTGTTTTCTAGTGGACAGAAATCAGGAAGGAGTTACGGTGGCAAAGAAGGAGGATAAGCTAGGAATTCGTGCTTCATCCACATGTTCGGTGTTCTTTGAGAACGTGAGGGTGCCCAAGACTGCTATACTTGGTGAATACGGAAAAGGTGTGTATTATCTTCCTGAGATGTCAAACCTCTTAATCTTTACTTTTGTGTCTCTTTGGACTTCACCTGAAAGCTTAGAGAATTGAAAAGATTGGAATTAACAATAAACTCGAGTGAATGGGGTTCTGTCCAGGTAAACAACATACAACTGTCGCGTACGATATCATCCCACTTACCGTAGGGAGCTAAATATGTGTGTGGGTGTGTGTGTCCAACCGTTTATGAGGTGGTAACGTGGGCTAAGCAAGGCGAGGGATCACACTGAGATGCGAGACAGCAATCGTCAATTGGTGGAAGAGAGCATGCGGGAGAGGGCTAGGGTTAAGAGCGTTAGGCGCAGAGAGCGCGCTGGTGATGGAATCGCGGGATGCGAATGATTAGGCTGAGTTAATGTGGAGGAGTTGGTTAACTGTGGAAAGGAGGTAGGGAGGGGGTGGGCGCAGCCGACGAGGGTTGTGTGAGTTGCGCGTTTTAGTTCGAAAAATTCGAAGAGCAGTGTGGAGCGCGCCGGTAGCCGTGCGTGCCGTTTAGGTTCAAGTAGCTTAGTCAGTATCGCGTTCGATTGCCTAATGGTACCGGAAAAATGATGTCGCGAGTGTGTGCCGCTTGCTCCAAGGGGGATTACTCTGCGAGAAGAACAGGAGGGCCTCACGTCGATGAGATCTGGAGGGCCATTACACGATTAGTGGCAATGGACGGCGTTTAATGTTGGCCCACGATCACAGAAATGGAAATTCGCCGCGGTGTGTTGGAGGCAAAGGTGCTGCGCTCGGCGGCCGTCACGCGTTTAAAGGGGCCTGCACCTCAAATCGCCACGGATGTGGCATCTTCACTGCACACGAATGTGAATGTATCGGTGCCAAGTGGGCCGGCAGTGAAGAAAAAAGGAAAAGAATCCGTCGAAAACGCTCAGGTTGAGGGCTCACTCACCTTCCTAATTGGCTGTGCTAAAGGAACGAGAGACTAAGCGCGAAGAGGAGAGTATGGGGCGAGAGAGCACCAGACAACGGCCTGATAAGAGAGCTCGTTCGCTGCAGCTCGAGCAGCTTACTTTGTAAGGCTCAAAGCGCTGTTATCGGTCGAATTCCCGTGCACGAGAAGGCCACATTTGTGATCGTCCCCTAGGGTTCTATACTTCTGACCGAAGAGAAGCGTTCACCGACTCTGCCCTGGTTGTGGGCTTTAAGGAGGACATTCACTATTGAAATCAAATTTATTATAAACCAGATTAGTCCCCCGTCAACCGCCGGGACCTTCCTTTCCTGCGCAAGCTTTCTATCCTCCGCTATGGTCCCTTCCTCCTGTGACACCAACACCTCCTGGAAGTGACGCGTATGCAACACAATGGTGTTTCATACAGTAGAAGGGACACAATCATGATATGACGGTAGATTTTTCGCTTCCCTTCCTCATCCTCCCTTCCTCTCTCCACTGCCCTCCAGCTGCCACTGCAGCACCATGTGGAATGAACGGAAGTGTGCTAAGCAGGTGTTTATATAGCCCTAAGAGTGTTATCACAACTATCCTGCTACAAAACATTGATATCTCAAATCCTGTAAGCTACCCGATTTGTTAGCGGTTTGTTTATCCCATGAGCTTCCTTCTCACTCACTTCATTTTGCGGACGGACACACATACATACATACATACATACATACATACATACATACATACATACACACGCACACACATACAGACATACAAACCGACACACAAAGTTAGCGCTTTATATAAATAGAAGGATAACGAGTGGTAGCAAATCCATGAAATAGGACCATGAAAGAGCGGAAAGCGCGTGAAAAACAAGCGCTGGGGAACCCCAGAAAAGGACCCATTTCTAACAGTAATATGGCACACTCTTGATGTCAGGGTGGCCGGCCGCCAATTGCGCCAAAGGGAAGGCAATACCAGATCGCCACAGCATACTCTTAGATGCGAATTGCTTGTTGGTCCGCACACTTACAAGGAGGAGGTTTGCCTGTCTCTCCACTGAGTAAGTAATTCCTGTCTTCGACCTTCGTTCCCATCGTGGAATCCTCCTTCAAATCGTATTCTCAATGATACTACACGAGAGAATGATACCACGCTTTGGTGTATCCCCCACTGCTGAAAAATGCGCCAAGTTTGTCTTTGTGTGTATGATCTCACTTCGCGAAAATGATGACAATATGATAAGAGCAGCCCAGTGTATGCAGACGTAGCTGGGAGCTGCCTGAAGAACACCCAAGCAAGGCTCCCTTCATTATCAGTGCAATCATCGGGAATAATGGTGCAAAATTTGTTTACCAGAACTCATGATCTTAGCAGGATAATAAACATGGAAGAAAACTGCTCACCAGGTTAATGGTTAGCTAACAGAGAGCTTAAACGATTTCCTGGGTTTTGCGAACGCGGTGGGGTCTTACAAGGACCCGCTTTGACGTCTTCAGTTCCATCTCGTCTGCAGCATTCTGTTGTCTGCGCTCTCTCATCCGCTATGTTCTCTCGCCCACCCACTATCCTCCGTGCTGAGTTCCTCATTGCTTTAGCACAAAAATGAGCGAGAACTTGGCTTAGGCGTTATTCAAAGATTCTTCTTTTTTTTCTTCCTGCAGTCCCGCTTCAGACATGCTATTCTTGTGTCAAGAAGCACTCCGTGTTGCGTCTGGAGACTGGCCTTTGATACGACATTCATAACGATTTCCGTCCAACAGTGTAATAGCTGCTTGAAAGAGTAGCTGGAGTCTTTCGACTTTCCTTTTTTTTCTCTCAAAAAAAGCCCCCTCGAGGATCGGATTAACTAAGATTTTTCTATTGGAATGCTTTGATTTTCAAAATCGAGCGTGTACGAAAAAGTGCAGGAAATGCCGTTTCCGGACGTGAGAATTCGGCGTTACAACCAGAATGTAATTGCATTGTTGGGATTTAGGAGAAGTCAGAGATAAAGGAAGGATTTCTTAGCGAAAGTTAACAAACGGTAACACCTGATTTCGAAACGAGGATGATTCTCTATCATGAGACAGAACCCCGCCTTCACTTTCATCTCATCAATGTCGTCAGTGTGTGGCGTAACCGAGCACCCATAAGCAGCTTCAGATTTCATTTAACCTTCCGGCGGGTGTAGGAGTACTATAAGTCCTTGTCCGATAGGGCAGGTTTTTGGGGTCAGAAATATAACGCATGGCGACTATCGCTCACTGAAGTTCCAGGCCCTTTTATTCACAACCGCTAGAATCAGAGGAATACGCTTGACGAATGGTTGTAGCGCTTTTACATCAGATGGTTCGTTTGTTTCACCTCTCTACATTTTTGCTATGATTTTTTAAAACCATGTATTTTGTTAGGCGTTTTAGTAAAATGCTTCCATGGGACTCATGCTTCAGGTTATAAATACGCTATCGAATGTTTGAACGCCGGTCGAATTGGTATTGGTGCTCAAATGATTGGATTAGCACAAGGATGCTTCGATGCCACCATCCTTATCTGCAGGAACGGAAGCAATTCGGATCACGGTTAATCGCTGTTCATGGTACGTTGCCTATTTCTTTACTTAGCGGTAATTTCACTTGGACTGTGTCCGCAAATTTGAAATCTTACAGCATTGCGGTACGTCAGTACCGAACTCGAGCCCGCCGTCGAGTGCGCCGCGGAGAACAGCGTGGGGCGACGACTAGCAGGAGCGAGCCATATCTGAGAAAAAAGAGAAAATATTACATTGGTGTAAAATAAAATAAAATGCAAAATATAAAATTTGTAATTATTCAATAAATCAAATAAAATGCGCCGTTCAATAAGATAATCTTCTTTGGATTGTGCGGCCCAATAAATTTTCGTCCACACTTCTCAAAGTTGTGGCGTACGGGGCCGATCAGTTTCTCCAGAGCTTTTCATGAAGACATGGCACGATATCTAAAAAAAAATTAGTCCTGAATATAATGAAGTGCGTGTTGTGGTGGTGCGCGTGAATCACGACTGCGAGCAACAATTCACGAAGGAACACTCTGCAATATTCCACAAGAATGCTAGGTTGCTTAAGCAGGTGCGATTCGAGTCCCGTCTTTAAGTTCGATCCAGTCTTGCTAGCTCTGAAAATTTTTAATAGCGTGCTGAAACGCTGCGGGCTTCATTTCTGACGCATCTTATGGTGATCAAGGCAATCATGGCAATTGATGCAAATTCTTGGTTAACTTACCAAGCCATCTCCTCTGGTTTCTAATATGTCACTTTTTTGTTGAATTTCAGGGTATGCAACATCAAATTTCTCAAGCAGCGGTAGAGATCGAGGCAGCTCGATTACTGGTTTATAACGCAGCAAGAATGAAGGTGGGTATTCGAGAGAGTAGCTACCGTTTTTTTGGCGAACTTTCGTATAAAAAGTTGAAGCATCTTCGGTGTGGTGTGTGCCGCCATGGGCGAACTCTACTCTCTCCAGGAGTATGTCACCGGGAATGTTTCTGTATCTTTCTCTCATTTTCTCTTCTACAGGTGGCGTGTAGTACCGCTTCAAAATGTGTGGAATGGCTTGGTGGAGTAGGTTTTACGAAGGAGTATCCCGTGGAGAAATACTACAGAGATGCTAAAATTGGTGAGCTTAGTGGGGCTATTTGATATTGATTTTCTTCTAGCTCATACTCATTAGTGGCTCACACGTGTAGTTGCAGAAGTGTTGGTGTCCTTATTGGGTCCTGCAGGGAATATCTAGCTAATTCTAACTTCAATCTTTTTTTCAGGCACCATATATGAAGGGACGTCAAATATTCAACTGAACACAATCGCGAAATTGATCGATGCAGAATATAAGCACTAGACTAAATGCCATAGGGTGCTGAGGTAGCCTTTCTACAGGTTGACTGCTTGCTCTGGGTCCTGTAGACGTAAAAATGCACCACGAACAAAACTATTTTTTGTAGCAACAATTATTTTTGTTTTTGTTACTTTTCTATGTTTTCGTCATGGTTTATGAAGCCGTGATTCCACGATTACCTACCTGCAGAATATTCAATAAGGGTTTCTTGTGAGGCACCAAATTAAATGATATATTGACCTTTTTGTACTTGTGATGTTGTCATCAAATTGAGAATAAATCTAGAGGATAAATATAATGATTATTATATTAACTGCAATATACAACCTCATTATGTATTAGGCTTTTCAGAAAGGTTTCCTGTCTGTTTTCGTAAACTCCACAGTTTGGATGCATTCATTTTCACGTCGAAATCCTAGAGAAATCGCCAATCGGTATGATATCTCGATTACTGAGAAGGCCTTCCTTTCCTTCGAAGCGGATACAGTCAAGATGCTCTATTCCAACGTTCTGTTCTAAAACATTTTCTTATAATTTTCCGAGTAGGCTTGAATGCAACATTTTCTCATAGCTTTTTCAAAGCTTTGAATGCGGTATACTCGATGAGCAAGTTGGCATGACTTTCTTTTTCTAGCTTTAAATAGACCTGAAAGTAGCGGGAACAGTTCAAGATATTAACGATGCACTTGGCCTAGATTCGCAATAAATGTGCTCAGAAGCAGTAGTTCAAAAGTTATTGTAACGAAAGCGAGAGCCTTGGGTATGATGAGAGTGGTGGTCGGATATCGGACGTTGCCACCGATTAGCCAAAAGTTCTGATTGAGGCACTCGTGCGTAGGACCATTGAGGAGGTTCTGCCCAACCTGGACGTATATGGTTTGTGGAGCCAAGTTATACGGAAGTAGTTGGAGAACCCTCGCTCCTCAATTTCTACCTTGTTTTATGTGATGTAAGCGACTCGCCTTTCTACTGATTTGCGACGTACAATGAAGAACGGATTCTTCCCTACAGCCCACGAAGCTTTGCTGAATAGCTCGACGGCGATCAAGCTCTACAAACTTTGCAAAACTTAAACTGTGCTGAAGGAGGGTTATGGCAACTTTCATCAGGTCAGCGGCTGGCCAAGTTCCCCGTATCAGGTGGAACTGTTACAGTGGAGGAGAACTCTTAACATTATGTCAAAATTCACCAAAATCTTCAAAATACGGGTTCAGCATTTCTCATTATAAAGGGACGGACACATCTGACAGTTGTCCTACACGCATGTCGCACAACCAACCCTGCACAAGTTGGACCAGCTAGGCTAAGGAAGGGGTGCTGCAGATATCTACTCAGTATACCTCTGGCTATCAACACTTTTTTGGGGGCCTCGATAGTTCCCTTGAAGAGAAATGCTTCAAAACACAACCCGATGCTAAAACGACCTTCCTCAGTTCATCGCCTCCAGAGCTCCAGCATTCTGAACAAACGTACCACTGAAACGGCTTCTTATAGCGGAAGGTTCGCGCATTCGAATGGTTTTTTTTCAACTTGAAAGGTTTGCTTTAAGCCGAGATACGTGCATTTAAAATTCGGGGTCGGAAAACGACAGAACTTTTTGAAACACCTAATAGAAACTCTAGCGTAATGACTGAATTTGTTTTTCCTGGAGCTGTATGCTATCCTTTCCGGAAGGAGGGGGCGAAATCGGTTTGAGCTTTCTTTTTTCCCAACCAGGATTGCCCTGGAAGAGGAAGAAAAAGAAAGAAAATGTAATGTATGTATGTGTGTAAAAGCAAATATGTGCTGAAAGTAAGAAACTATTATATATCGCTGAGAACAAATAGATTTGAAGGGATCTTTTGTCCACCTGACCTGAGGGAAAGATAGGGTACGGCCTTTGTAGGACCAAAATCCGGATGGAACAACCAAGCGTTCCTTCCCCAGTTTATCGGTTAATCGATACAGAATTCATACAATAAGAACTCATTGAGCAGAAACGGTTGCATAATGTGGGATCAGACCCTAAACACAGACGAAAGGCGATCTGTGGACTCCATTATTCAACGGTCGACTGTGTGTTATAGGACGAAGGAGCACTTCAACTATGACCAACTCCTTTTTTCACCTGTAAACGGAGCGACAGATAATAGCTGCGATACTTGTAAGAACTAACCTTATCACATATGTCAACGACATTTTAGTTATCAGGCTGTCTAGCCTCGGATGTGTGCTACTCCGAATAAGCACAGGCCATAAGGACGGGAAAAGAGCATAGGTTCAAGGTTAGGTCATCTTTCAAGTATTCAGATGTTCAGAGCTGAATCTTGTATGGGGCAAGCTATTTCTTCTACAGCCCACGAGTCGATTCACAGTTTGGTTTCTGGTATGGACCACAAATTGATCTAGCTGCTTATTGTTCAAAAATTAGTCTAAGCAAAACTTACACAATCCAATGACGAATCTCTACGAGGATATTCGACGTCGAGTGACTTGTTACGAAATGTGTGATTGAAGCCCTGCACATGAAGGTAACAGAGCTCAGCGGATACCTAGCTTTATCGGCAAGAGTAAAGTACTATAGAAATTACATGTGGATGTAGATCGATTCTGCCTATGCGCTGGAGCGATCAAATGGTCATTAGCTGCAGGGGCACTAGCACTGGGAAAATAGACCGAAAAAGCTCTCGGCACTGATTAATTTTTTCAGGAATGCTTCTAGCGCGGATCTCCTCCAATCAAATCATAGTGGCATTATCAATGAGCATAACCTGTAGAAATTACGCCTGACTTACGGTCCACGAGGTACAGTCAGTCCTAGAATATTCCAACACAAGTCCGTTACCAACTGGTTTACGTCTTGGGGAGACTTGGTTAGCCAGGGCGAAATTCGCTCAGGGATTTGAACCAGGGTGAATATCGGTCGAGGAAATCCTCGACAGGGGGGTCGTACCTGTCGGGCTGGGTCATGGGGGGTCGTACTCTTGGGGGTCAGTAACAGCAGTGGTATCGTGGTGCAGATAGGTAAGAGGGTATAGCGCAGCAGAAAATGAAAATATCTGAAAAAAAACATGATATTAAATTTTCTTTGCAGGTTCAGTCGCTCCATTCCTCCACCTTCATGAGAAGGGCGTATTTGAAGGCAGTACAAAGAATGAAAGTGCATCCCCGCAAAGAAGACTGCCACATGTGCGCACGCGCTGCAAAGGCACCTCCTCTGCCTATCGCTCGCTCCTTCTCCCTTAATACCTCGCTGAGAATGACACTGTTGTTAGGGACCCTGTCGCAAAAACGACAACCGTGAAGGAAAAGCCCTGGGCAAATGAAGTTGTTCTTTAGGTTGTAAGAGTTACGAAATGCGTTTACTACAATGCAGCTTCTGTCAACTGGTCATGATCATATGACACCTTCGAATCGATTCTGCAACTTCGAGTGAGGTCGGATGCATGGCCTATACTCAGACAAAATTCGATGATGACGATTGCCCCTTTTCCTATTGCTTATGTTGGGAGGATGTTTTCTAGACCCATTTCAAGCGTTGCCAACAATTACACTTGCAATGGTGAAGGAGGGAGCGGATTTTCAGGTGGCCGGATCCGTCCTCGTTACATACTCGACGCAGATATCTTCTCAACTAGGAAATGTAGAAGAAAGCTAAGAAGACCATCAGAAAGCGCAAACCTTCCGCTTTCCAAAACTATCTTCCCTTTTTCAGGACCTTACGACATTAGAGAGATATTGCTTTTGATGTGAAATCAGCATCCTCGACGTTTACTCGACGAAATTTGAGAGACCCTATCTTTCTGCATGGAAGGCTTTCAGAGCAATTTCAATACTTCTTGGAAACGCGAAATCCAGCTCTATCTAACCCTACCTCAAACTGCTTCAAAGGTTATGAAATGGAGGAATGCAACCTTTTCATCGAGGGTGTAGATTTCGACGGTTTTTTTCGGATTTCAGCAAATCTGACCCAGTGACAATCGCGCCGCAGCTGCCGTTGAATCGGCCTTTGATACACTCGGCTGTTTTGATATACTCAAGCAGGAATCAAGATTGAATCGCAACCCCGTGCCTTCAGGATTTCTGTGCATTTCTGAACGAACCTGACTTTGAGGTCACACAAAGTTAATGCCTCTTTCCTCGAGTCGATATTTCAGTAAATACACAAAAGTGTGCAGCGATGAAAGACAGTGCACAGATGACAAGATGAGGCGTCCATAACATTATTTTGCAGGATTTTTTTGATTTATTTTGCAGGATTTATTTTAATTAATTAAATTTGCTCTGTTAGAGGGGGTCGTGCCAGGATCTCGATTTCGGGGGGGGGGTCGTACCTCTGCGACCACGTACTCGACACGATTTTCACCCTGATTCCACTATCAAGCAAACCTCATCACCACCGCGTGACATGAAATTTGACACCACTTCTGCAAAAGGGCATGCATATCGTCAATAGTGAAGCGAAAGAAAGTGAATGTGAAAGTGAATCTTCATATCACTTTATAATTTCAATTGTCCAAATCCTTCTGGATTCTACTTTTTTCCTTTCTATATTTCATCTCGAAGGATCGCGTGAAATTCCATTATATATGTAATTAATTGATACTCGACCGCACACTTCAAAGAAGATCATTCGACAGTATAGCCCGCGACTAATTCTCAAAATTTTCAAGGTTTTCGAGCTATCTAAAACATATGGAGGCTTTCTGGGAATACAAGACGTTACAGCAAATAGTTTCGATACTGTTGAAAGTCATCATCCCATTGGAGAAAACCCATTGTTTTACATTACACGAATAACCATCTATTATTGCTCTTATCAGTTAACAGTGCGAAAGTGGATAAGAAATCGCTGGCTATCAATACACAGTGAAATCGATTTCCGGCCGAAGTACCGGCACCCAACGGCGTAGTTTACTAACGTCTCGAGCTCGCGAATCGCCCATTCATAGTACAAAGTTCAATGTTCACGACTACACTATGGCCTGTCTATTTATTACTGAACAGTATCTCTGTTTCATACCGCATAAGTAGGTTTTTCTTAAAAGCCCATCTCGTCAAGTTGTTGTTTTGACGGTGACCGTGTTTGTTAGTCTCTTGCTTGGGCCTCGTGCTGGATCGATTTTTTCGTTGCGTTTAGTCCTTCCCATGGATTTTTTGTCGATTTTTTTGCCACCCACTAAGGCTGTCATAAAGCTGCGTGTGAGTTCATGTGTGTGTTGTACAGAGACTTTTGTAGGAACACATTTTTGGACCGATTTTCATATGGATTTCTGATTAAATTTGCGCTTTTCTCCGAAAGGGTTCTTGACAACAGTAGTGCTCATTCACCCATTCTGCTCTAACTTCTTGTTTTGCTTGTTGTTTCTTTCCTATCTGAATGACCTAGTCTGTGGAAGTCACTTTAATGATGCGCAAAGTTTCGATTTCGCGGCGGTCCTCTCCCGGTCGATTAGTGAAAAAGCATTGAGTAAATCTCACTGCTCAGTCCATGATCGGATGAAGTGATGAGCGAGAATATTTTGTCGTCATACCGAGCCTGCAAATCCTGTTCCCAGCTAGTCAAGCCTTTCTTATTCAAGCCTTCACCTAAATTCAAGGCCATTGTGCCCGCCTCGTTAACGAAACTTGACAACTAGTTTGCGTGGAATAACGTTGACCTATTGAAGTACGACTTTGATTGCAAGCCACAGGCGCATGTCCGGAATCGTTAATCTTATTATTTCTAGTCCATATAGCACAAATCTACGCTCTAATACGAAGAGAGAACGATTGAATAAAACATTAAAAAAAAATTTGCTTGTTTTACGTATTGCGTGATTGAAATTTAGCGACGGTGAATCAGTAGGTGGCATTTCTTAGGCCGATGTCGGACTTTGGGAAGATTCAAATAACTTTCAAACAGTGTTGAGTCGCTGGTACATCGTTCGACCCGCTGGCACATAGTTCGATCCCCTGCTACACAGCTCGATTCGCTGGTGCAGCGCACGTTTCCAGCAACTCGCAAAGTCAGACATCGGATTTACAAGGACCCAATCCTGCATCAACTCTCATACAGGCCAACCAATCTTAAGACCCTTTCCGGACCGCGCATTTTTGCCGTGCGGCTTCGTGCTGCACGGCAAGCATAAATAAAAATATATTCGACCTGTATTTCACACTGAAATCATTACTTTGCCTCGTTTTTGTATTTGCCATGCTTAAGAGTACATATGTAGTAATATGGCAGAAAACTGTTGCATGATGAAAGTGATAGGGCCATAAAAAGGGAGGCAGGGATGAAAACTGTTCAAAATAAGTTGCAGTGGGCGCAAAGGGACCTGAAAGTGAAAGAATTTTGGATTAATAGCATCAGATACGACATGCACGTGTGTCATAAATTCTGTTGTATGAAGAGTTTTCAAATGATTTATAACTGTTTTCCTGAGCTCAAGTGGACATCCATTTAGTATTTAGTTATTTTAGGAACTAGTTTGAGGTTGAAGTCTAGGTTTTTTCGTACGTACGACATGAGTATCTTACATAGATATGTAACAACATAAAAGTTTTTGTCGAAAAACCTTATCCTCGAAAAATTTGTTCCTGACACCCCATGGGTGTCAGGCGGTCCGGAAAGGGTTAAACCCCTTCGTTGTTAATTAAATGGTATCAAGCTTGATTGGAAAGATTAAAGCCTTTCTCAAGGGTTCACCGCAAGGAATTAATCACTTGCTTTAACTGCGGTTGTCCATTGCGTAGGCTATGCATCACTCAAACGCTACGCGATCTGAATGGGAGTCCAGTGTGCGGCGCATCCCAAAAAACAACACCTGACTGTCGTAAAAAGCATCGTAGTTCATCATATATGACTGTAAGCGTAATTCGGAGTGGTTGCTAAGGTTAAAAAGTCAAGCAAAGGATGTCATGGATTTCCCACAAGGACGCATTCTGTTGCATTTCAATAGGAACCCGGCGTTTTTGTTCACACTACTTCAGGAATCTTTAAGCATGAATGTTTCGATTCTTCGTTCCCCAGATTTTATGCAAATTTCGACTTTGTTTCCATTTTGGACTGTACTTCCCTTAGCATATACAATTTCTGCTAGTTGTCATGTTCCTGCACCTGATTAGAATGCTCTAATACAAGAAAGCGGAGTGGGCCACTTGCATTTTTCTTTTGAGGTGAAGCGCACTGTGCGACGTCTGAGAAACATTGGGTGTCGAGGGGAAGGAAAAGGCGAGAGAATTTACCGTACGAGGACGCGTACACTCAGTCACATAGACTTTTGCTCGAACTCAAAGCAATGGGCAATACGTGCAAAATCCTGGAGCCAGAGTCAACTGTGTGTTGAGAGAATTTCAAAATTTTTCCGTCCCCCCCCACCTTTTTTGGGTTAACAGTGCGACCCCATAAACTACCTATTTCCTACTTTTTATGCTGTTGTGCTCGTCATCGATGTATGGACCGTCATCAATATGGAATGTTGTGGGAGTGGCAGTTAGTCACTTTGTCTCACTCACTCGACCGAACTTAAGCCAACACGGAATTATCTCATTTCATGAGGATAACTTCCAACAATCTGCGTAAACCTAGGTGACTGCAGAGAGCTTCACTATCAAAAAAAATTACCAAATGTCCTTCAAGCTTCCAGAACTCCCTCCTTAACAAAGTGAAAATCTAAGGCCTGCAGTGGTTGTGGTCCTCTTCATCTAAAAGGTTACGTCCTCTTCATCTAAAAGGT